ATTTCTCTCAATTCAAAACATGCATACCCCCCCCCCCCCCCCCTCCAAAAAAAAAAAACCCAACCTTTTTTCCTTACTAAACTCTCTCATATTTGAATTCAAATAGCCATATTAATTCCTTCCTTAACATTCTCCTTACATATGGAATTATTATTTTGTTGGGTCCCACAAAGGGGGTTGAATTTTCCTCTCCTGTGTCTCCTGTGTGCGAGACTCGTGTTCCCGTTGAACGTGTGGCTCTCACTCCTGCATGTTGAGTCGGGCAGGCTGAGCAGGTCCCTCCTAGACTAGTCTAACATTTTCCAAAAAAAAAAAAAAGCATGACTAGACCATAATTTGAAATTCTTTATGAACATTATACTTCAAAATATAATAACAATAAGAAAATAATACCACAATTGATTAGGAAATCAAAAAGAGATTTAATGGAATAACCATATGGATATAGCTCCAAATAAGATATATGTTTTGAGTAATAGTTTTTATTTTTTTATTTTTTTGGATTTTAAACGAATTAAATTGTAAACTCATATACATCACATCTGTAAGCTTTGAAGTCAAAATCTCTAGATTAGAAGCTTAAGCACATAATCAACAGGCCAAGATGTGTATATGATGGATAGTACCAAACAAAATTGTCAGTGCAGCCTAAAAATCAAAATAGCGAGAAAGTTATCCCAAACAAAATATAAAATAAATTTTGCATTCAAGAAAAATTCATGCATTTATAAACTTAGGTAAGATAAAAGATATAATCATAAATATACAAAAATAAAATTATACTTCATCAATAAATCTTTAATAATCTTTCATAAAAAAAAAAACTAAACATCAAATAATAAGAATCTAATGAATTGACCAAATCTTCAACCCCAAACCAAACAAAAAGTTTAAACAAATTATTCTGATTTTTAAATAAATACCAAATGAATGAAATAATCATTATTTAAAGATATGCTCATGTAGTAATAATCCACCAATCAATATGATAGATTATGTTAACAGAAAAAGTTAAATGCAAACAAGTTTTTCATGCAAACTTATTAATTAACATCTATTTATTTGAGCATAAATGACAAATAATATAAAAATTTTAATTAAGATCTAATGAAATAACAATGGATCTATGATGCACTGAAACTTTATATAATAAAAACACGAAGTTTTTGATGCATGCAACATACAACATGCACTCAAAACAAGTCCAACACATGTCAGACACGTCGCTGACATACTTGATTAAGATTTCAGTTGGGATGACTATCTTATTGTTTTTTAAAATGATTTTCTAGCTAAAAAGTTGTTTTAAAAAGCAGTAAGAAAGTCATCCCAAACGAAGCCTAAAACAATAATAATAATAAATTTAGATACTTCAAACTGCTTACTTATAAAATAGTTTTAGTAGATAGCTTGGTGGAGTTTAGATGTTTGTAAAGTGAATCAAAGTTTTTAACTTTTTGAGTTAAATTTGAACTGGTCGAACCCTTCTTCATGACCAAAATGATATCATTCAACATTAGAACAAATACAAATTCTCTGAACTATTTAAGGCTACTATTATAATGGAAAAGCTGATTTTCACCGCACTACAGATGCGCTTCCACAGACCCCAATTTCATTTCCAGTTCTAACTGCTCCTTTCCATCTACTGTCAGCCTATATAGTCTCCATGGTTGCAGACTACAAGTTCTTCTGAGATAAAGGCTTTGTTTGGGATGGCTTTCTTTCTGCTTCTTAAAAGCAGCTTTCTAGCATAAAAATTTAAAATTTTATGATAGAAAGTGCTTTAAGAAGCATTAAGAAAGTCGTCCCAAACGAAGCTAACATGTTACAAACAGCCTGCTCCCCCAGTTGAAGTTAATAGAATGGTGAAGAAGACAAAAGCTTGTCCATATTCCATTCACCCAATCTCTTTCTGCTTCCCTTTCCTTGACCTGGAAGTTGTTTTTGTCCTGTGGCTTTTATCTATCGTACTAACCCATTTGTAATCACTTGGGATAATGAAAGGATCCACATGCTCATCCACCTGTGGGTTAGCAGTTTTTGATCGGGAAATGGAAGATTTGGTTGCAGAACTGCTGCTCCATTTTAGCCATGATTTTTGAGTGGTGTTCTCTGGCTTTCGATGATCTACTTCCTCTTCAGGGGCTGAAAGATGCCTTGGGCTTGAAAGAGGTGTGAAGAACTGTTCTGATGGTTGGAGACCGATGAATTTAGTGAATGTAATGATCATTCTTACAGTTGGGACAATTGGGATTGCAACCTGCAGAATAAAATGGAGCTCAATGAAATATAAAACAGAGGGAGAGAGGTAGATGGATGAATATGTTATAAACATGCTTGCTTAAAATGAGAAATGAATATATGACATAAAAACAAAGAATGTATGTTCATTGCAACATATATCAACTTAAAATTCATTAGCTTTTCAGTCTTCAGTTTCAATGATCCATTAAGAGTTTATTTGGGATGATTGCAGCTGTTCATAAAAAGCAGTTGTATGACTGTCGGGAGAAAACTAAGGATTCATTTGGGACGGTTTTTTTACTGCTGCTTAAATCAATTTTTAGTACAAGAATAAAAATTTTTGTACTAGAAAGCTACTTTAAGAAGCAGCAAAAAAGCCATCCCAAACGAAGCCTAAATGTTATTAAAAGATGATGTGGATATTAAAAAAATTTTATATTTGAAAAAATTTGAACAAAACTTTAAAAAGTGACCAAAAAACTATGGCAAAATAGAACTGCGATAGCTGTTTAGAAAGCAAAGCTATGAAAAATAGCCCCAAACAGACCTTAAAAAGTAACCGATATATGGTAATCTAGCTCATCGGTTAACTTAAAGACCTCATTTTGAAATGATGTCACCGTCAATATCTTGAGGTCAGGAATAACTAGAATTTATTAGCATGTATATATCATCTCTTTGTGCTATTTAATATCACGTGTCGGTCCAAAATTTTGAAATGAAAGGATGTGATACCCTGCTACCCAAGCTCATAAATGCATAAGAATACAACCAGCACGAGGTGTTTGAATGCTTTAGTAATTGCCTGCTTAGTGGTTTGTACACCAGGGAGAAAAATGATTCATGTAAACGATTTCACATAGTGGGATAAAGGTTTGATGCTGTTGTTATTGTTGCTAGTGGTTTGTACCAGCTAAAAATACTTGATTTTCCACTTAAGAGCGCACAACGTACGTCATAGTTATCAATGGCATTACAGCTTTCTTTCGAAGATAAAAGATATATAAAAGGAAAATACAGCGGAAAGAAAAGCTTAAAAAGAAGGGATGCATCTTTTTTATTCAATTCCCTTCAATTTTTGTGAGAAATTTTTGCATGAATTGTTTTATTCCAAACTAATTATCTTAAGAAACATTAATAGATGCAAATTTTCTTTAGAAACTTCAATTCTAAAAAGTTTTGATAACAATCTTTAACCACAATATTGTTATTGTCTACTGCTAAAATGACTATCCTCGTTGTCAATGTTTGGTAAGAAAATAATCATGGCATTGAATTTGGTAGGCCATCTTGCCATATTACTTCATATTACTCAACAGTGATCTCACAGGCTCACAATCATCATATCATGAGATGATCTATCCTCTATTTTCTCTATTTGAGCACCATATGAAATGATAGTTTAAAAGCCGTTCTAAACAAAAACAAACTGGGTGGCATATTTCATCAAGGAAAGCATGATATATCTCTTCTTTCTACGAGATTAAAGATAATAATTTTATCAAAACAATAAATTTGCTTTCGTTGAATGCCAAAAATGCTGAAGATTCATACTTAAAGAGTTGAAGAAATGCCCATATCTATGAAGATTTTCAAGACAATGATACGCCTATTTACTCAATTTAGAAGAAAAATAGTTATTTATAATCTTACATTCTTATGAAATGTAAATAGGTTAAATTTAGTAAAAGAATACTAAATTTCTTGTTTTGGATAAAGAAACACCAGGGTAGTCAAACATAGCAAAAGTTGCCATCAAGATAAAATGATGAGAAAAAGAAATTTGTGAGACAATAAACTATGCGTCAAACATTCAAATCGTATTGCCATGTACAAAAATGTTATAGCATTTTCTCTACATGAAATGAAATTAGCTTCATCTGAAAGAGGAAAATAACTTAAGAAGGCCTGAAACAAACTTAAAGGGTCTAAATGTGTACTGCCTAAGAATCATATTCCCACAGGCTACATTCTTTAATTATAATTAACATCAACTTCTTCTTGTCACCTTTCCCTTCTAAATCCTAAAATTATTTCAGAAGTCAAGTTTAATATTAGTTTACAAAGGTTGGAAACCGAAACCTTCCGTGCTTGAAATAAGAATATCCAGTACCAATTAAATCAAAGTGCTAAAGGTAGACTAGAATTCCGTTGCCGCTATATTTTTTGAGGTGATGAAATGAATACTTGAAGACACACAGCTCATCTTGGCCTGTTGGTTGAGAGCTTAGGCTTCAACTAAGAGGTTCTGGATTCGAGTCTTTATATATGTATTGTGTGTGTGAGTTTGTCTTAATTGGCCTTAATGTCCCCTCCCCCCCCCCCCCCCCCAAAAAAAAAAAAAACTTGAAGAGGGAGGGTGCTTTGAAAGTTGTCTATCAATGGAATTATTCTATATTGCCTTTCATGTCTGCCAAGTATGGCACATGCCACAGTAACTGCTGTTCTATCTAAGGCCTTAACATATGTCCAAAATATAACAGAAGCAGACAAAAACCTACCAAAACAGTGGCGTCCAAAGCTGCCTGACAGGAATGGGCAACTTCTACGCAATCCTACAATTATCAAGACATATTTAACAAGAGTTTTTCAAATTTTAAAATAAAACTTCGTATAATAAATTAATCAAGAAGTTATTGTACATGGAGCTTAGTTTGGCATACGTTAAAAGATAAATAAATTTTAACTGTTGACTGTTACTAATTATAGAAAAGCCATTACTGATGTAACATATCTATTTCAATCTTTCAATCATCATAACAATTCAATTTAAGCTGGTGAAATTCAACATGGTTTTCCCAAAAAAAAAAACAAATCGACATAGGTCTCTAATTATGAAAATATCCATCATGCTGGACCACCCCCCATCTCTCCCAATCTCATAATATTTGCAAACCGCATTACTTCAGCCATTTGACACACCCAAGTCCTTCTCACTCAAAGTGAGTGGGCCTTTCATTTGGTACAGCTTTCTCATGGCTTCTTAAAGCAATTTTTTAGTACAAAAATTTTAAATTTTGTACTAAAAAGCTGCTTTAAGAAGCAGTAAAAAAGCCGTCCCAAATGAAACCTAAGCTTCCTTCTTAAGAATTCAATTTAAAACACGGGAAAAAACTCTTTATACTCTTTATAATGCAAGAGTAAGATTGGCACCTCATATGATGTTATTGTTATGGATTAGCATATTAAAATTTTGCAGCAGCATTTAAAGTGTTCTTTAATGAAGCCCTTCTCAGACCTTTACATCTCTTTTATAGTTCTTCAAAACCATTCCATCCGAATCCAATTCTCCAAATTAGGCCATTATTCTCACATTATAACTTCAAAGCTATTGATAGAACGTCCCTGCCATACGCTATAACAGCAAAAATTGATTCAATACATTAAGAAGTGAAACAAAAAATACCAAAAACCCTATCATACTCAATTTCCCATTGCCGGTCCACTCCATTCACATTTGTTCTTCAAAAATAGTCATCACAAATACAACCCATATCACTGTCTCATAGTCTAAAATTTGGCCGACTGAAACACTTACCCAATCTAGAGCACCAGTCATAGCAATGTCCGCACCAAATTTTGTAACAGTTTTTTTCTCAAAGTATTAAAAACAAACAAACAAAACAAGACAAAACAAAACAATGGCAGGATGAAACGACCATACAGATGCAGGTAATAAAAAGTCAAAATTTCCAAGTTCATATCCTTTACCTTGACAGGAAAAGTCCCAGGCGGGAATTTAGTCGTGAGAAGCTCCCTCAACTGCTTCACAACCTTGATCTTGTTTGAAAGTATATCCAGCATCGGCAGAAGCTCTTCAGTCTTCAAGGGAAAATCCTCAGTCAGCCAAACCATAGGCTTCAAATTCTTCACCACCTCCTTCTCCTTACTCTTCAACACACAACTCCCCAAACCTAATTTTTCCGGCATCACCGCGTCCACGCTCCTCCGCCGACCCATCTCAACCTCTTCGGCACGTCCAAACCCCCCTCGCTCATAGCAGCTATGCCGCGCAGGAACATTCGCAAGCTCCGCAACAATAAACCCTTCTTCTGCATCCTCATCAAGCTTTAGCTCAGGCAATACCTCTTCCGTTATGGAAGCTGCCAGTGTCTTGAAACTAAATACCACATTCTGCAGCTCATAAACACGCGTTTTCCACTCTCCGACCAGCTCCATTCTCTCTCGACGGCGCCAATTAGTACACGGCACCAGGCGGGCGTTACCAATGTCAACCCCTGGACGATAGGCAGTAGAATCAGCCGCCATCGCCTCGGCCTCAGCCTCGTCATCGGCGCCATCAAATGCGTCGCGGATCTCCTTCCTATCGCGATCGAGGACAAGAAGAGAACCAAAAGGAAGATCGTGACAATTGGGGTCCGATAGGAATAGAAAAGACAAACGGCGGCGACGATCAGCGCGAAGATCGCATGAGCGTTTCGAGAGGCGAACATCATCGGACGGGATCGCGGATCGCGGGATGAAGGGAAGGAGAGGAGATTCAAAGCGGAGGGAAATATGGAGGTGGAAGTCGGGGATGCGGCGTAGAGCAGGGAGGAGAGAGGGAAGGCGGCGGCGGAGTTTGGACCATGCGGAGAGGCGATGGTGGCGGAGGAGGAGGACGGCGAGGTTACGGCGGTGGAGCGAGAGGGCCAGGTGAAGGGGAGTCCAACCGGAGGAGTTGGGGAGGGAGGGGTCTGCGCCGGCGAAGGTTAGGGCGGAAACGGTGGTGGTGGCTGCCGAGAGAGGGAGAAGTCGGACAGCGAGGTGCAGGGGGGAGTCTCGATTGGGAACGTCGCGTCGGTCAATGATAGACGAGATTTTTTCGGCCACGTGGGACTGGAGAATGGAGTCTGATTCGGTGAGAATGGAGGAAGGATGGGAGAGACGGGGAAGGGAATCGAGGAGGCGGCGGAGGCGGAGGAGGTCTCCGGATGCTATAAAGTAGTGAGCGGGGCTGTGGGCGTAAGCGTCGGGTGGTAGAATTTCTTCCGCCATTGGAGGAAGCTTTGGGTGCCTGTGGCGCTATAGTTTCTCTCTCTACTGAAACATAACGGTAGTGAAGGACTGGAGGAGGAGGAGAGAGGAACTTTTTTTTTTAAATGTTTAATTTTTTTTCTATTTTGGTTATATATTTTTATTCGTTACACTTTATTGGAGTTGATGCGCGGGAATTGTGTAACTTTTTTTATACTACTTTGCTTTTTTGTTTTGCTTTTATCGTTTATAAATAAAATTTATGACAATAAAAATAATTCATATTATTGATTTATTTATCTTTTAAAGAAAGAAAAAAAAAAAAAAAACTTCAGCCCATTGTTGATTGGAGAGAAATTAGTATTTTTTCTTATTTGATGTGAAAAAAATAAAAAATTTATTTTCTATGAGTACAAAGATGAACTAATTTCATAGTCAAAATTGAGTTTAATATTTTCTTTTTATTTTTTATCACACAACTTAAAAGTAATCTTAATATGAATACTATATAAAAAAAAATCTAAATTTGCTAAATACCAATAGTGTCTAAAATAGTTTGCATTATAATTGATTAATTAATTATATATCAAATACTATGTTATTTCAACTTATTTATTTATTTTAATAAAAATAAAACATATATTGATAAAAAAACGAGTACATGAAGCATTGTAGCAAAAAACAAAAAAGCCAAAGAAATACAATGTGGAAACAATCTGAAGGGCCCAGTTAATGCCCGAGGCTTCTAGCTTCCCCGAAGTCAAGTACAAACCCTTCAATTTGGTGAAGGAAAATGCGAAGAAGCCAACACAACCGAGCAAGAGAGCATCACCAAAGGTTGCCACGAGTCATGACGATGAGAAAACGAGCCACAACCACATCATTGTCCAGCAAAACCCCCGTCCAACAAAACAAAACGAGCTCCAAAAAAACCAACCAGAGAGACAAGAGGGCAACCAACACGAGAAACTATCTACCCAGTCTGCCCCTCCCACGAGCCTTCCCACGAGAGGCGACAGAGACGACTGGTCTGTCATGAGCGGATGACAAAAAATCGAACCTAATGCATGTAGGATCCGCGGGGTGAATAGATGAGGGCGAAGATTGGGGAAGGAGATCCAAATCGGAATAACAGGACATTCAACACCAATATTCGATGAAGGTGGCCATTTAGTTAGTTTCATAAAACAATTATACACAAGGTATGAACGATGACTAAAAACCCCGCTATAATCTAAATCATTCAAAAGCTTAACTAAGACATGGGAAGAATCGAGCAGAGTAACAGAAAAATCACTGTTAAGCTTAAGGTTGAAAAAAAATTTCGAATGGAGTCCAGAATAGGCCGCCGGGACGGAAAAAAACCTACTAGCGAAAACTGGAAAGGAGCAGTAAGCGCTAGGATCTCAGCCTTGGAGATCCAAAGAGAGGGCAAACCTTGAAACTAAGAAGCCTTAAGCTCCGGAAAACACACATCAGAAGGAGAACCAGAGAACGCTTCAATAAAAGAGCGCGAGCAGTTGGAACCAGACAAAAAATCAGGATCCAACAGGCGCTTTGGTGCCATACTAGACACAAAAGTCCAAGAAAACCAAGCCAAAATAATGAAATAGCTGGTTAGAGGAACTTCCCTGCATTCGCAGAGGCGGAGAACGCCAAAACCAGGCCAGATAAACAGCTAGGGTGGAGTGGGAACGAGAACGAGGAGGTGTCACGCCTAAAAACCTCCTTCAACTTATTTATTTTAAGATAATATTGATTTTATTTTAGTTTATCTTTTTTTTATGGATGAAATTAGAAGAGATTCAATAGATCATCTCAATTTTGGTTAAAACTAAAGGAGAAGAGATTAATCATTTAAATATAAGTTTTTGAATATAAATTATATCATATATTTTTTAGTTGTTATAGAGTGCGACACATGTCTAGGGAGGATCATACACGACACTCATAATTAGAGCAAAATTAAGGGGTAGTTTGGTTTGCTAAAAAAGAATGCAGTGTAAAATTAGTGTACCATAGAAGGAATGTATTATGGGCTATTCGGTTGGAAATTTGGAATACAAAGTGGTGTAAAGTAATCCAAAAAAAAAAAAAAAAAGGGTTTTGAAAATTTTGATGTTTGGTTGGAATAAAAAGTGGAGTAAAATAAATTAAATGACGTGTAAATCATTTTGTTGGTTGTTTGATTGAATCACTTTGGGGTGTAAAGTATTCTAAATACAGGGATTTTATAAATTTGGGTGTTTGGTTGGAATACAAAATGATGCAAAGTAAAGTATATTAAATGTAATATAAAATAAAATAGTTCATTTTGAGTGTAAACTTAAATTCTTTGATTTTGAGTGAAATATATTTACACCACAAGCATGCTTGACCACCGCCTACCACCGGCCACCACCCGTCAGCCACCATCGATTGTCACCGCCAGCCATTGCCGCCGGCCACCACCCGCCAGCCACCATCGATCGTCTCCTCCACCCACTGTTGGCAACCACTGATGCCACCCCCACCACTACAAGAAATTCAGCTGTTACCGGCGGCCTAGACCGGCGGTTGTATAGCCGCCGGTAATAACGGCGGTTTAGTTGCCGGTTTGGCCGCTGGTTAATTCCGGTGGCCTAACCGGTGGTTATTAAAGTATAGGCCCCCATCAATAGCGGCGGCCATATAACCGTCGGATTAAGCGCCAGATCTAAATATTACCGGCGGTATACCAGGTAAACCGCCAGAAAAAACCATCGGTAATACCATGTTAACCGCCGAAAAAAAATGCCGGTAATAGCTGAATTTCCTGTAGTGCACTAGTCACCACCACCACCACCACCACCGTCGCCAGTCACCACCACTGTTGGCCTCCACCACCACCACCATCTCTCGTCGGCCGCCACCACCACCACCATCTCTCCTACCAGTCGTCACTATTTTTAGACTTTGCACTACATTCATTACTTCAAACCAAACAAAAATTTCATTCATTTGCATTTACTTTTTATTTATCGGTTTCATCCAAACAACTACAAAATATTTCTTTTACACTTTTTCTTTTTTAGCCAACTAAACAACTCCTATATTTAAATGTTTGAAATTATTTGGATGAGTACAAAATAGATAAAAATCACTTTTTTTATTTGAAGTAAATTGAATGAAATGTAAAGCCTAAAAATGATGTTGATCCGTGGCCTACAGTGGCATTGATGGTTGACATTAGGGGGTAATGGTGGCCTACTACAATGGTAGGTGGTCGTCACTGGCGAATTGTGGTGGTTTCCAATAGAAGCATATGGTGGTGATGGCGGATGGGGCGGCGACAACATGTGACAACAATGGAGGTGGTGATCGATAGTAAGTTGTGTTGGCGACCACCATCGGACGCAGATGGATGTGAGTGGTGGCGGTGGCGATGGGTGGCAACAATGACATATTAATATATTATGTATTTAAAAATTGCTCAAATCAAATAATTTCAAATATATCAAAATTTAAACTAATTTTTTTTATATATATATATATATATATAAAGTCATAAAAATGAAATTCGACTCCAAATGAATCCAAATCAACTACTATAGGTCTTGTTGCGGGCTAGAATATATGCGAAGATAGAGTTAAAGTCATATATCTTAGCATTGTACGGATATCCATATCACACATAGAGAACATAAGACTTTTTATATGGAAAATATTGGAAAGGGACAAATTATGGGGCCTGACCCAGTTGGAAATAATTTCACTAGAATTCGAGTATATTACAGCGGACTGACTCGTCCTTGAGGGCGATCAGATTATAAATGTCAATTGTAAAGTTGAAATATAGTGCCAAACATGCATGATAGTCCGACGTCACTTGATGGTCTGGCAAAAGTCTGGCGTGACTTGGAAATTAAGGCGTTAATTAGTAGTTCGGCAAAACTCCGGGGTCACTTGGTGGTCCGGCGGAACTCTGGGCGTCAGGTGATGGTTCGGCAAAACTAATGGCCTCAGGTGGTGGTATGGAAGAAGTCAGGATCCCAGGTGATGATCCAACAGAAGTCCAGGCCTTAGATGATGGTTTAGGCAGAAGTGAGGGCCTCAGGTGGTGGTCCAGTAGAAGTCCGGGCCTCAGGTGGTGGTATGACAGAAGTTAGGATCTCAGGTGATGGTCTGGTAGAAGTCCGGGCCTTAGGTGATGGTCTGGCAGAACTCAGGGCGTCATGTGGTAGCCCGGCGGAACTCAGGGCATCAGATGGTGCTCCGATGGAACTTAGAGCATAAGGTGGTGCTTCGACACAACTCCGGGCGTCAGGTGGTGGTCCGACGAAACTCAGGGCCTCAAGTGGTGGTCCGACGGAGCACAGGGAGTCATGTGATGGTTCGGCGGAGCTCAGGGCCTCAGGTGGTGGTCTGGCGGAACTTAGGGCCTTAGGTAGTGGTCCAGCGAAACTCCGGCGATGGTCGAGGAGGCAAGGAGGTAAGAGCGATCTCTGATATCTCTCTTTTCTCCTTAGGCTTAAGGGCCCCCTTTCAAGTGGAAGGAGGAGTCTATTTATAGATTTCCTAGAGTGACATGGCCCTTAATAGGAGGAAGATCAAGGGTAAATGGGGAGTGGTTTGAATGGATGACCGATGTTGAATCCCTTGATCATGAACTATTCCTTAGACATTTGAAGCTCTTAATGATGTTGGAATTCTGCGATCTTGGGTTCGTTGGATTCTTCTCGTTGAGCCACTCAATTTGATTATAAGCATGTCATGTTCGAAAACAATTTAGTAATCCAAATTGTGGTTTGAACCTTCCAATAATTCTTCGGGTCCTCGAATCATACCCATTTGGGCTCGGATTGAGTCAAATTTGGTGTCGTTGGGTTTGTCCTTCTGAGCCATTCAATTTTATTATAAGTTTATTGAAATCGGAGTTCGGATGGTCCCAATTTTAATTTCAGAAGTTTACAGCTTGATTTTGCCTCGAGATTCATGCCCAATTAAGATAATTTGTTGATGATGTATTAGGTATAATTAGAAATTTTGAGATATTAATTGGATGACAAATTGATATTTAAATATGACATGCTTTACTTAAATAATGTGTTTCGATGAGAGAAATCTAACGAGCCTAAAATCACTTACTTTTAACAACATTAAGGTA